TCATCACTCCCACATGCAAAACATACATAATGTAAGCATCATGCACGCGGTTACAAACATGAAAACTGCTTCCAGACATCCAAGAAACCATTCAGGAAGGTGCGTACAACGTGTCAGACACATCACAGAGTATGCAAGAGCAGTGTGCGGCTCACACGCGCCTAGACACATGCACAACCTCGAGAAAGTCCAGAGATATACAAGTGTGAAAGTCTCGTACCTCACCGGAATGAACTATTAGTAAAAACTAGAGAACCTGAAACTCCTAATTACCAGAAGGACAGAGTTTGGCAATAATTAAGAGGGATGTCAGTTCCTCTGTTTTCTAATATGTTATTCCCCCCCTATAATCTACCTTGTCCATAATTATTATCGCATTTGCTTAGTCTGCTTTCGTAAAGTGAAGTTTAAGTAGATTATGTATATATATATATATATATATATATATATATATATATATATATATATATATATATATATATATATATATATATATATATATATATATATATATATAATCTGCTTTTGCTGGTGGTATCCTACTTTCGTTCAGGATTTATCAGCCATTGTAAGAGTTTTCCCTGTCTGATAACAGAGCTGTGTCGTAATCCATGCTACAAGACCCGCTACACCAAGGCCAAGCTAATTATTTTTACGGCCTTATGTTTCTTGGCGAATTATCGGAATGATGTACATCTTGTGTGTACATCATGGATGTTTCAGAGCGTGACAATACTGGCTGCGTATTAAAGTGAATTCAATAAAAGAGTTACTACGCCTGGTTGAATGTGCACTCACAGGATGAGTGGCACTGTCCAGTACACTCTCACTCCGGGGCAAAAATGAAATAATTTAATATCTGTACAAGATTCCTATTACCACTGAAGCTTATGATTAATGTGGCGGATCTCAGTGACACAGATACACATGTTTCAGGCACGGTCATTATGCGGCGACACACTAAGACACACATGTTTTAGAAACGGTCACTATGTGGCGACACACTAAGACACATGTTTTAGAAACGGTCACTATGTGGCGACACACTAAGACACACATGTTTTAGAAACGGTCACTATGTGGCGACACACTAAGACACACATGTTTTAGAAACGGTTACTATTTGGCGACACACTCAGACACACATGTTTCAGACACGGTTACTATTTGGCGACACACTCAGACACACATGTTTCAGACACGGTTACTATTTGGCGACACACTCAAACACACATGTTTCAGACACGGTTACTATTTGGCGACACACTCAGACACACATGTTTCAGGCACGGTTATTCTGCAACTTTATATAGCTGTAGTCAAACACGCAGTACGAGATGATCAGCAGGGTAACAGAAAGTAAAAAGTCACAAATGCCTTGGCTGGAACAATACCATGGTTGGAACAATACCATGGCTGGAGCAATGCCATGGCTGGAACAATACCATGGTTGGAACAATACCAAGGCTGGAACAATACCCTGGCTGGAACAATACCATGGTTGGAACAATACTATAGCTGGAACCATATCATGACTGGAACAATACCATGGTTGAAACAATGCCATGGCTGGAGCAATTCCATGGCTGGAACAATTCACCAGTTTCACTCTGTACTATTATTTCTACTACCAATTCCGCTACTATTACTACTACTACTACTACTACTATTACTACTACTACTAGTAATATTATTACTACTACTACTATTGCTGCTGCTATCTTTACCACCGCTTCTGCTGCTGCTACTACTACTACTACTACTACTACTACTACTACTACTACTACTACTACCATTAATTTCATGTCCACCACCACCACCACCACCACCACCACCACCACCCACCAACTACTACAACCACCCCCACCAACTACTACAACCACCACAACAACAGCAACTCCCCCCCCCCCCATTATATGGTTTTCCGGTCTTCGTTACTTTTTCTTCGCCCGATTTGCAATTTGACAATGGCTCAGGACGGAGCGAAACATCGTCATAAGGTTTCTCTCCTAAATGTGGATTTTGGGTGAATCAGCTCAATAAATTACCTTCGCTCTTTAGGGACCTTCTCCTTCCGACGGTGCCGAGATGAGAATGGCTATGTGATTATGTGATATGTGATTATATGATGTGATTGTTATGTGATGTGATTATGTGATGTGATTGTTATGTGATGTGATTGTTATGTAATGTGATTGTTATGTGATGTGATTGTTATGTGATATGCGTGTGTAAGTGAGCAATTAAAATATGTAAACTGGCCACGTCTCCTGACCAGGCCAAAATACGAGTGTGTGAGAGACGTGTTGTCGTTATTTATCGTAGTCTCTTCTCATATTCCCGTTCTCTCGCAAGCTCTAGCCCTCTCTCTCATTTTCTGTCTCTCTCGTTGTGTATATGCAACTACCTATTTGTAATTGTCCTTTGTAAATTTACAGAAGTTAGGCGGAAACTCTAGCCCTGGACCCAACGCAGCAACGTAGTTCTGGTCGTCCTACTTTACATCTCCTAGGCAGAATTGTTTCATAACGTCATTGTAACATCATCTCAAATAATGTTAGTTTAAATTTATTAAAGGGATGGACAGGTAAGCCTGTGGAAGGCCTTGGTCATGTGACGAAAAGCTCCTGTAGAGGGTCATCATATGACCGAGACTCACGTCGGGAAGCACTGGTTCTGTTTCCTTACTAATTTTTACCTAACCTGACGTCTCTTTGTTTCGTACGTTGGACTGCCTGCGGCCAGCAGTAACAGCCTGGTTGATCAGGCCACGATCCACCAGGCAGCCTGGTTATGGACTGGGCCGTGGGGGTATTGACCCCCAGAAAACATCCTTGAGGTATCCTTCAGATTCAGGATGTGCACTTTCCATTCATGTCTCCCTGTTTTGCGTTCTCTTGGTAAAACGTGTTTTATCGTCCCTGGAGTATTTTGTGTGTTGTTAACATATCCACTTTCATGAAAGCTCGCGTGAAACACTGTTGTCAGTTTGCACTGGTAGATGTGGAGGGAATGTGACGTAAAGCTGCCATTAACTCACTGCCATGAACTCACTGCCCTGAACTTCCTGCTCTGGTCTTACTGCCACGAACTCACTGAGAGAGAGACACGAAGAGAGAGAGAGAGAGAGAGAGAGAGAAAGAGAGAGAAAGAGAGAAAGAGAGAGAGAGAGAGAGAGAGAGAGAGAGAGAGAGAGAGAGAGAGAGAGAGAGAGAGAGAGAGAGAGAGAGAGAGAGAGAGAGAGAGAGGAAAGGTTACTCTGCTGCTGATCTGTTGTTAAACCTCTCCACTAAGTGGCACCAGTCACTGGATGAATCCAAAGTCAGCTGTGTGGTAGCACTGGACATTGCTGGTGCTTTCGACCGGGTGTGGCACCAGGGTCTCTTAGCAAAACTTCAAGCACTGGGAATTGCAGGCTCTACGCTATATCTTCTCAGTGATTACCTTCATGGTAGATCTCTAAGGGTAGTTCTCAATGGAACGGAATCAGCAAGACATCCTACTGGGGCAAGTGTTCCACAAGGAAGCGTGCTGGGACCATTGTTATGGAATGTCTACTTCAACGGCCTTCGTCATCTCATCCCAGAATCCCATGCATATGCAGACGACTGTAAACTGACATTCACTTATCCAAGAGAAGAAATGCCAGCTGCTCTAAGCTACATCAATCACCAGCTAAGAGCTATATCAGCTTGAGGAAATAGATGGCAAGTAACATTTGCACCTGAGAAAACTCAAATGATGATCGTCTCTAGGCACCATGATGGTAATGCTGGTGTAGTATGAATGGGAGGGTGTTGGCACCTGGAGTAGTTGATATTCTTGGGTGAAATTTGACTCCAAACTAACCATGAAGAACCATATTGTAAATCTTGCAAACGAGGCAGCCAGGAAGCATACAGCACTTCGCCATATCTCACATCTGCTTGACAGTAAGGGTTGCAAGATTCTGTACGAGGCACAAGTACGCTCACACCTTGAGTATGCTCCACTTTCTTGGTTTGCCTGCAACCCCCTCTCATCTGCGAATGCTTGACAGAGTAGAGAACAGAGCAAGACATCTTATCTCTCGCCTGGACCCATCCTGGATAGATCTGTCATTTCAGCAGAGCCTTCAACATAGGAGGGATGCGGGTGGCCTTACTGTTATGTACAAGGCCAATATTGTCAAAGTACCACACTTGGATCCACTTCGAGGACAGCGTGAAACAAGCTTTTATGCCACGAGACGGGCAGAAAGCAGCAACGTCACTCTGGCTGTACCCTTCTCCAGAACATCACTCCATCTGAGATCATATATACCCAGGATGACTCGGGTATGGAACACATTCGTACAGCATAATGATGTCAGCGAGATAAAGTCAGTTGATCAAATGAAAATGCTGGCCCACAGATGGCTACAACTTCATCCTGTTCCCTACTTGTATGTCTCATAACAATAAAAATGCTTTCAAATGAGCTGATGTAGGTAACAGCTCTTAGCATGTCAATAAAGTTAGGAATCCTTAACCTGTAAATAGTTTGTCAATAAAGCCAGGGATCCTTAACCGAACCATGTCAAACCCTGTGTAAAAAAAAAAGGAGAGAGAGAGAGAGAGAGAGAGAGAGAGAGAGAGAGAGAGAGAGGGAGGGAGATACAGAGAGATGCACGAGTACACTTAATCAGCCTCCTGAGGGCACGGGGCCCCCTACTATTGGCATCTATAGGTCATGCGTACTCACCTAATTGTGGTTGCAGGGGTCGATTCACAGCTCCTTGCCCCGCCTCTTCACAGGTCGCTACTAGGTCCACCCTCTCCCTGCTCCATGAGCCGTGTGTGTGTATGTGTGTGTGTGTGTGTGTGTGTGTATGTGTGTGTGTGTGTGTGTGTGTGTGTGTGTGTGTGTGTGTGTGTGTGTGTGGGTGAGGGTGTGTGTGCGTGTGTGAGTGAATATATCCGCATCTCTCCCTCATAACTTCTCACATCTCTCACTCACAACTCCCTCACGCACATAATTACCTGCTGGTACGACCACACCTCGCTGTACCACCACCTCACCTGCAGAATTAGAAAATAAATTACAACTCAGCAAATAAGCAAATAAATGTTATAAAAATGATGAATATTTATGCTTTGATAAATTCGCAAAGCAAAATGCATTTAATATATGCAATAAATTCCGTATAAAGGCCTCTGCATTGCTTCGCATCAATGCTTTTGTTTTCTTTATGAAAGCAAGTCTGCGTACAGGTATATACACCGAGTGGCGTATATCCGTGTATATACGCAGAGAGAATGATTTAGTCTTAGTTCTTGGGATTAAAGAATTCTTGGCTGGTTGTGAACATGTGACTTGCAGCCTTAATGACCCTCGTGTAGTCGATCTGTTATACTTAGTAAAGCAAGATAATTTGTTGTACCTGAGCAGCCAGGGTGCACAGTACCTGAGCAGCCAGGGTGCACAGTACCTGAGCAGCCAGGGTGCACAGTACCTGAGTAGCTAGGGTGCACAGTACTTGAGCAGCCAGGGTGCACAGTACATAAGTAGCTAGGGTGCACAGTACCTGAGCAGCCAGGGTGCACAGTACATGAGTAGCTAGGGTGCACAGTACCCGAGCAGCCAGGGTGCACAGTACATGAGTAGCCAGGGTGCACAATACCTGAGCAGCCAGGGTGCAAAGTACCTGAGCAGCCAGGGTGCACAGTACCTGAGCAGCCAGGGTGCACAGTACCTGAGCAGCCAGGGTGCACAATACCTGAGCAGCCAGAGAGCAAGGTACCTGAGCAGTCAAGGTGCACAGTACCTGAGCAGCAAGGGTGCACAGTACATGAGTAGCTAAGGTGCACAGTACCTGAGCAGCCAGGGTGAACAGTACCTGAGCAGCCAGGGTGCATAGTACCTGAGCAGCCAGGGTGCACAGTACCTGAGCAGCAAGGGTGCACAGTACCTGGGCAGCCAGGGTGCACAGTACCTGAGCAGCCAGGGGGCACAGTACCTGAGCAGCCAGGGTGCACAGTACATGAGTAGCTAGGGTGCACAGTACCTGAGCAGCCAGGGTGCACAGTACATGAGTAGCTAGGGTGCACAGTACCTGAGCAGCCAGGGTGCACAGTACCTGAGCAGCCAGGGTGCAAAGTACCTGAGCAGCCAGGGTGCATAGTACATGAGTAGCTAGGATACACAGCACCTGAGCAGCCAGGGTGCATAGTACCTGAGCAGCCAGGGTGCACAGTACCTGAGCAGCCAGAGTGCACAGTACCTGACCAGCCAGGGGCACAGTACCTGAGCAGCCAGGGTGCAGAGTACCTGAGCAGCCAGGGGGCACAGTACCTGAGCAGCCAGGGTGCAAAGTACCTGAGCAGCCAGGGTGCACAGTACCTGAGCAGCCAGGGTGCAAAGTACCTGAGCAGCCAGGGTGCACAGTACCTGAGCAGCCAGGGTGCACAGTACCTGAGCAGCCAGGGTGCAAAGTACCTGAGCAGCCAGGGTGCACAGTACCTGAGCAGCCAGGGTGCACAGTACCTGAGCAGCCAGGGTGCAAAGTACCTGAGCAGCCAGGGTGCACATTGCCTGAGCAGCCAGGGTGCACAGTGCCTGAGCAGCCAGGGTGCACATTGCCTGAGCAGCCAGGGTGCACAGTGCCTGAGCAGCCATGGTGCACAGTACCTGAGCAGCCAGGGGACACAGTACCTGAGCAGCCAGGGTGCACAGTACTTGAGTAGCCAGGGTGCACAGTACTTGAGTAGCCAGGGTGCACAGTACCTGAGCAGCCAGGGTGCACAGTACTTGAGTAGCCAAGGTGCACAGTACTTGAGTAGCCAGGGTGCACAGTACTTGAGTAGCCAGGGTGCACAGTACTTGAGTAGCCAGGGTGCACAGTACTCGAGTAGCCAGGATGCACAGTACTTGAGTAGCCAGGGTGCACAGTACTTGAGTAGCCAGGGTGCACAGTACTTGAGTAGCCAGGGTGCACAGTACCTGAGCAGCCAGGGTGCACAGTACTTGAGTAGCCAGGGTGCACAGCACCTGAGCAGCCAGGGTGCACAGTACTTGAGTAGCCAGGGTGCACAGTACCTGAGCAGCCAGGGTGCACAGTACTTGAGTAGCCAGGGTGCACAGTACTTGAGTAGCCAGGGTGCACAGTATTTGAGTAGCCAGGGTGCACAGTGCTTGAGTAGCCAGGGTGCACAGTACTTGAGTAGCCAGGGTGCACAGTACTTGAGTAGCCAGGGTGCACAGTACTTGAGTAGCCAGGGTGCACAGTGCTTGAGTAGCCAGGGTGCACAGTACTTGAGTAGCCAGGGTGCACAGTACTTGAGTAGCCAGGGTGCACAGTACTTGAGTAGCCAGGGTGCACAGTGCTTGAGTAGCCAGGGTGCACAGTACTTGAGTAGCCAGGGTGCACAGAGGTGTGTCGTACTCTCTCTCGTGTCTCTGTCCTCCTTTCTATATGTAGTTCTATATATGTCTCTGTGAACGTTTCTCCCCCCTCCCTCCTTCCTCCTTCCCTCCCTCCTTCCTCCCTCCCTCCCTCCTTCCTCCCTCCCTCCCTCCTTCCTCCTTCCCTCCCTCCTTCCTCCCTCCCTCCCTCCTTCCTCCCTCCCTCCCTCTCTCCCTCCCTCCCTCTCTCCCTCCCTCCCTCCCTCCCTCCCTCCCTCCCTCCCTCCCTCCCTTTCTCCTCGAGTTTCCTTCATTCTTCCCTCCCTCTCTCTCCTCCTGACTTCATTCCTAAGCTTCCCTTCTTCCCTTATATCTTTGTTTTTTCTTCTCTTTCTCTCTGTCTGTCTGTCTGTCTGTCTCTCTCTCTCTCTCTCTTCTCTTCTCTCTCTCTCTCTCTCTCTCTCTCTCTCTCTCTCTCTCTCTCTCTCTCTCTCTCCTCTCTCTCTCTCTCTATCTCTCTCTCTCTCTCTCTCTCTCTCTCTCTCTCTCCCTATCTATCTATCTATCTATCTATCTTATTTCTCTCTTAACCAGGAGATGTTTCTAGTGAGGTTGCCGGAGATTGCACACTATCCTGCAAGACCCTGGCAACTCTTCCCTAAGAAGGCAACACCTCATAACACCGCCTTTATTCGCGGGAGTCTCGCTCTCCACAAGCTTGCGTTCACCTCAAGGACTTCTTTTTAGCGGCCTCTGAAGACGAAGAGGAACGAAACGTGCTATAATGCAACGAACAGAAGGAGGAGGAAAGAGGGAAGGGGAGGGGGGGAATACGGACCACGAAATCACGTGAATTAGTGCCCCTTCTTCCCAAGCTGAGATACTCACAGCTCTCGTCAGTGTGACTGAAAAAAAGGTGCATCGAAAATTGAATACCACGTACTGTGAAGGCCTTTCCACGTGCTACTCAATTTTCAATGCATTTTTTTTTCAGTCGCATTCACGAGGAACTGTACTATATAGAGGAACTTAACATGAAAGTTGACGGTATTTGGGAACCCGATGTCCGATTTTTTTCAACATGTATAAGACCAACAAAACAGATTCATCTATAGGATGAGTTTACTTCCACATTGATGTCACTTTTTTAATGATTACGTATGAATACCATTTCCGATGTCATGTTAGAAAGGCAAAAATTATCATAAATAAAAAAATGTTAAACTTGCTCTGTAAACAAAATTTTAAGTGGACAAAAATGAGAAAAACCTTAATATTTTAAATGTTGAACCTCTCCGTCACACAGGATGGAGAGGTTCAACAAGGGAGACGTGAAGTACTCGAGTACGAGATTAAACAAGAGAGAGAGAGAGGTATTAGGATGGCCGGGAGGCCGCCAGAGGTGAGTTGAAACCTCGTACTGCTACGTCCATTGTCAGGGGTAAAAAAAAGATACGGGTAGTCTGCGACTTATGTAATTTATCATTAAAGGATTGTGATGGGTATTTTTTTTTTGGGGGGGGGGGTTCCAGAGTGCAGAAACATCCTGGTGCGGGCGTGGGTATGTGGGCGTGGGTGTGTGTAGGCGGCCCTGTTGCTGCTGCTGCCTGTGTACCGTTATGTACCCGGCCCTGGTTGCTAGTGCAGGCAGAGGCAGGCAGCAAGCTCTCTCACTCTTCCTCTCATCCTGTCTTTGTCTCTCTCTCTCTGTCTCTCTTTACGTTTGTTGTCGTGTATATGAAGTCGTTCTTCGTGTTACGTGTTGCCTGACTACACGCAGACTAACTTTCTCATCCTAAGACACGATGTTTACCTCGCACTCACCCCCCTCCCCCCATTCCCCATCAACTGACATACTCACAACTTCCCCATCCACTGACACACTTCCCCCCCCCTGCCCCATCCTCTGACACACTCCCCCTCCTCATCCCTCCCCTTCCCCCACCATTCTACCTCAAGATTCTTGACATGTTTATTGTGTTTATGCATTGAATTTGGCTTTAGATAAACCCGAAAAAAACATAATATCGCCATTACTTTCTACGCACGACCTTTACCCACACTACATGATCCTCCATATCCCTACACGATCGTCCAAATTCCTCCTCCATCAAACACGGCTCTTCCACCACCACCTACAACCCTCCAACACAAACACACACACACACACACACACACAACACACACACACACTGACGGGATCTGTGACTCAACCCCTGGAACCACATACAGGTAAGTACACACACACACATCTGCTACAATAACAAGGGTGCCCCACACGTCCTGGTGACGCCCTTGAACCTTACTGACGATGTTGTCTTCGTTGCTGGAGTGAAGGAGACAAGGATATGGTAAGGAAATTGTGAGGTAAATGAAGAATGAGGTTAAAGAACGGTAGGTAGATATCTGGGTTTGTTGATAGGTAGGTCAGTAGGTTTGTAGGAACGTAGGTAGATAGGTAATTAGGAAAATGTTTAGAACCTCAGCTTCTGTTGAAAGAGTAACACTAGATGCGCTTCTTGAAGAACCGAGCATCACAGGTGTCAGAGATGACACTGAAACTACATAAATGACTGAGGATCACAGGTGTCAGCGAGGACACTTGAAGGGATGTGAGAGGGAACAGTTGTATACCCCAACATGGATGTGGAGTGGAGAACT